TGTTGTTAAATTTTTGTATACATATAAAGACGATTAATTGTAACATACATAGCATAGTTTACTCCAATGTTTAGCGATTAGTAGTAAAATGACTAGTTATATTTTTGCTATAAAATTTAAAATTAAACTAACTCTCAATATTAACGAAATTGAATTTTAGTAGGCCTATTTAAAAAAGTGCATTAACTAACTGATCAAACCTACTTTATACCTATACTGTTATTCTTTTATCTCAAATGGTGACCATACAAAGGTAGGTATTTTAAGCCAAGAATGAAAGGAGACGTTTATGAACTTCACGTGAAAATTCAAATAAATATTTCGAGAGAAAACCTTTTTTGAACGAAATAAAGGTAGTTCATACTTTCAATGGACTCAAAAAAGGCAATAAAGAAATTAAGACAAATCTTAAACAAAATAGGCAAATTAGTAATTTTAATCTGAATCAAGGAAAACTTCAAGTAGCGAGTCATTAGTTGAATTTTTCATGGCGTACAACAATGTAATTCAGACAGAAAATGTGTAACGATTTAAAAATAAAACCCATATTAATCTTGAACTGTGAAAGCTGAATTATAACTTAAGTTAAATCCATTCCAAGGAAACATTTACGGATGCAAAAGAGTTGTTTTGGAGGAAGAGAAGTTTTGAAGTAACGCAATTACATGACGACAATGCCACAACACGAACCAAACTTGTAGAGTTTAGTCTTGGAGTGTCTCCGAGACAACCGTTATATTACAGGAACTAATTCGTCCTGTTTGCACCTTCGTACACTGAAATTGTAACATTCACTATATGTTTTTTAGCAGTGTTTCGATTATCCAAAAATTTGCAGACCGTACGTTTAGGTAAATGTAAATTTTTCTAGTTTAACAAAAAAAAATCACAAGCTTAATTTTTTCTATCTTAAGTTTGCTGATGAGAACATACAGCATGCAATTAATATACCTACATATCAGAGGGGGTTATACAGCAACTGTGGACTCAACAATCAACCTGACTGACAGCTGTTTACTATCATTGTTGACTCACTCCCTCTACACGATACTGAACATATTGACTGACGGACTGCTTGATCAAGTTTCGTGGGATAGAATGGACTTTTATCCAGGATTATATACTACTTTGGTACATAATATGTCATATGCTTCATAATGAGTATGTCATTTACATCACCACAATTAATGGTTTTTTAAAACTAAATTCCACCTTGAATGTTGGTATCATCAAACTTTATCTCTCAACAGTTGTTTTTTTCGTCCTTCCCTGTTACCCCTTTTGACACTATTTAGACCCCAAAATTGGACAATATTTTTTACTCTTACTTTCATAAGCGTGTTAATTTCAACCAAAAGAATATGGGAAAAATGTAAACAAAAACAAATTTTATTTGTTACTCAGTGAAATTATTGAATAACTATTTATTATGAAAAGTACATGAATAGGCCTATTACACTTTTTTTAAGAAAAGTATAATGCAAAACTACTCTAGTGTTCGTGACAAGATAATGAAACTGGACCCAGCTATTCCTGATCAGTCGCTTTTAAATAAATAATCCCTGCTAATTAAACAGCTGATCTTAGTCAGTACCAAAGCCACACAGTTAATTTCACTTTATTATACACCTATCATATTTGGGTCCAAATAAACACGTAAGTGGCATCCTCATTTCAATTGCTAAAAAGATAACCAACCAATGTTACCTGAATAATTGCCAATAAATCTATACAGTTTATTATGTTTTAACCCCACAAATATGAAACTATGAACCACTTAAGGAGGAAAACCTATTCTTATATCACTTCTACAATACGGTTCAATATGAGACTGTTTGCAATACATACTAGCAGCACAGAAGGCAAAGTTCTGACAAGAAAATTATGTAAAGCCAGCTTAGGACTGCGTGGTTTTACATCCACATCAAGACCTAAGAAGATGGGCACACCCCTTTTGTGTACGCGATTAGATGATTGTATAGTATGAAATAATTGTCTATAAAACGATACCTAAAACTTATAAGACGAAAATTGTTCTTAAAACCATTACATCGAACTGTATATTGTTTACATGCAGATTTATTGTAAAGGAGTCTACTTTTGAAATGCATTTTCACTGTGAACACTAAGCCGTACTGTAAATCATTCATCTATTGCTTAACAAAAATTATTATTTTAACAATAAATGTATGTAATGTAGGTACATTGTTAAACTAGAAATCCTTTTTTTCGGAGCTACGCATCAATTCTTGTTTTGTTGTAATAATAAAACAAAATATAAAGGTAAAATACAATTTAGACCCCTTTGCAGAATTATTGGCGTAATTTTTATCATTACCTATAAGGACGTATATTTTCCTAAATCAGTGTGGGTTACAATGTCACAGGATAAAACCCCACTGTGAATAATTAAGTAATAATGGGAACACGTTAAACAGGTCGCTGCAATTCTCGCTTCATTGCTAACAGAATTATCTCTCAATGTATTTACTAAATGTAAAACCCCGTTTTTACTTTTTTATACGGCAAGCATATCATACGGTTTCGTCATATTGCCCTGCTTAGTAATTAGAGCATTAACAAACATGTTACACTACAATAAAATCATATTACATTTTTTTACTTATTTTAAAATAAAATTTATGTTTGTATTCACTTTATTCGTCCTTTTAATTTGATGTAAGCTATTTATACAACACTTGTTTTATGTTATTAACTCCAGCATTAAATATCATAGGCCAATCATATAAATACTGTTTACTAATATAGGTATTTATTTTTATTTTACATTAATGACTAAATAATCATAATAATGTAACATAAAGTAATTATTTACGAGTTGATTTTTTGCATATGGATTTTAGACAGTTTATAAAATCTTTCGGAAACGATTTTAGAAATCCTTAGTTATGTTCATATTTGTGCCATACGGGTGCATGCCCTGCTTTGCTGATTCTATCTACGCACTGGTAGATAGCACAGGTAAAAATGGAAATAATAACGATTGAATCTACAACAAAAACTAACTATTACATCATAGTATTTTTCATCCATGTAAAACCTGTATTATATGTACGCTAGATCTCGATTAATCATATGTTTTTCGGTTTCCTACAAGGCCTTCCCTGTGATTTAATGTAGCTCTCCAACGCTGAGATAGATCGTCATTATAATGTGTAATAACAGTTTGTAGCCTACCATAACTTCCCCTACAAATCCACTCTTCTATAAAGCTGCAACAATTATCAGAAGAATGAATTTGGCAAATTAATATTTTGCAGAAAAAGATAGATGTTAAGTTCATTGCAACGCGTTTTCCGTTACTACTAGAAATACAACTCATTCATTAATTTGTTGTGTAACATTCAAAATTATAGTAAAAATGTATGATTTGTAAATTAGAAAAGAGTTTGAAAACTAAAGAGATAAAATACAACAAAGAAAATAATTAATTTTTAAATAGTGACATGTACAATCAAAATGTTTGGACACCTCTTGAACTGTTTTTGGCGAAAATAAACCTGTACATACACATTAAGTGTGATTTTTTTAGCTAGCATGATATTGCAGGTAAAAATGGAATGTTGTATATTGATGAGAGGTTTATGTAGATGCAGTCAACCGCCAGACGGCCTTCGCAAACACAGGCTCTCATTTGAATACCGCATACAAACGTGCTTTACACATCACCACACAAGTTCTGTATTTGTGTCAATCTAGTGTCGCATATTATGTCATACGATGAAAATACATTTGTAGATTTTTTTGTTTTGTGTTGAATTGTAGTACGAGACTTACTGTTTTAGGGAATAGACCCATTACCAGTACTATTCTAAAAACAATGTTTTACTCGATGTAGTCAAACCGTAATTAATTTTTTTACATAATATATTAATTCATACTTAACTCAAAATAAAGGTAAAAACTAAAACTTACAGTTCGGTTTTCCTTCCTATTGTGCATGTTTAATTTTAATAGACCAGCCCTCAAGTTAATAATAACACACATAGTTTTCAAGCAATTTTATTCCTGTTCAATCCTATCTGACAAGATTGTTCTATTACCTTACACACAGACAATACTAACTACGTAGTAGCATAGATACAAGTTTCTTTTAATCTATGGTAGTAAGCACCCACAGCCAACTGTGTTACTTCAATACAACAAGCGTTTGTATGGAAACGAACAATTTAATAATTTTTTGTATTATTTAATTAACATTTTTTACAGGAAAATCTTCGCTTTTACGTGAAACCCGAATGGCAGTATTCAAATTCATGACTTCATGCAGTAACGTACATCTGTTTACATAATATGTAAGATAATTAATTATACATTAAACACACAACAATAATTCAAAAAGTTATCGCACTTATCATAATGATCATTTTGGACGCCCTTTTTGTTGTAAGTTTCATTTATTATATCTAATGATTTACCAGCTGTTGGTTCTCAGCCCCTACCTTGAGCAAGTATGGTAGGGAGATTGAGTGCATTCCAAGTAGCGATAAAGATCACACGTGCAGTCCGACACACTTTATTGCGTGTTGTGATGATGAGCATTGTGCCTTTCAGATACATAGACTACATTTTAACAACTACAATGATATTGTTAGAATATATTGTTCGGAATTAAAATTAACTAAGTAATTTGTTTTATTAAAAATAATACAAGTATAAAAAATGTCACAAAGTCGTGTTTATCTTACTATTTTGTATAGGTACTAAAATAAACCTATTACCCTCTTCGAATAAAATAAAACAGTCCCTGCTTTAGAGAAAGCATCAGACCGTGATGTCATCATTGAAGTGTCCAGCTGCGCCCAATTGAATGGATTGTTTCTCGACAGCACATACTCTATTTGATCAAACTGGAGAGTTTATATTATACTGCACATTAATTCAGAAAGTATTTTGTTGTCTTAGCCTCCATTGCTATCTACTCATTTATATGACATACTTTTCTAAATCAGTAGTTTATAAAAATGTTTTTGTTTCAGAATCCTGAAACGCTGGTTGAAAAGGTAAGTTTATAAGAGTACCTTTTGAGATTTAAAATATTTCGTATGGATATTAATCGATCTCTATAGTAGGCTATAAATCAATCTCTAGTCCATAAATACATAGTCCTTAACAAATAATATCTTTTGAAGTTCCTTTTTTGAGCGTTTTCTTTTTTTTATCCAGCCACGTTGAAATTTAAATGACGAATTTACTCCTACTAATACTTTAAAAAAAAAATCAGTATACACGATTTTTCCATAAAGGGGTTTTGGGACTCTTAGTTTATTCTGGATTTTGTTTTAATATAAAAACACATAGCAGCATTGACTATTGGATACAGAAGAAGACATTTCATCTACTGTATATGGATCCATACTGGAGATCCAGTATGGACATATGGACAAGCTGGGTCTTAACAGTTGCTATAGCTCATAATAAGTCATTCCATCAGTTTGACTTGGTAAAAACCATCGTGTAATCGACAGAAATCAGTAATTGAGATCAGTTTGATTATCAAATCAACTTAATCTGTAGGTGGCTTATATCAACTAAGACAAATTTAATTAGGCTAAAAAGCTGGTGACAAGTTTAACGTGGGGATGAAATGTTTAGTTGATAGCAGTTATTTATTTTTTTTTTCTTTAAACATTAAACCATTTTTAACCTTATGCCATTCGTTTTAAAAGTAAAAAATAATTCAGATCCAATGAATGTTTTGAATAATATATTGCGTAATAACTTGTGTAATCCGTTGTTCAACATTAGTAATCCCACGGAACCTGATTTGTTTGAACAATGGATGTAATCAGCAAAGCTACTCTAACTGACCATGTATATGTGTAATTGCATATTACACTGTATTAACATAACACTAACAAGCTCATATGCAGCTGTTACACCACAATATGCGGACACTTGTGGACAACAAATCTGCCGTGTGGAGAGATAATTGAGGTCAATAGTGTTAGACCTCGTGATATCATGTTTCGGATTACTGATTTATAGCAATGGTTATTATAGCATTTACGTGGTCTACATCTGGAAATAAATTATTATAAATAGTAAGAATTATGTATAAGCTCAATCAACAATTTCAAACAGGCGATAAGATTTTAGCATGGAACTATTCTACACATTACTGCAGACAAAGTTTATATGGTTGCGGAATTGCCACTTTATGTAATCTCACTAGCCATTGTAGGGATTCAAACCCGGGACCTCTAGGACCGAAGTACACGCTTTACCATTAGATCAGCTTGTTCCCTAGACTTCTTCTATTGGTACATATTTTTTATTCAATTAACTAAAAGTTCACCAGGGGCTAAGAACCTGAAAATAACTAAATAAAATTACGATTGGAAGTGATGATAAAGATCGAAATTTGTATGACACAGCCCATTAAGAACTATTATACAGTGCAACTATTTAAAATTTTTTCTAATTGAAACTACCAATCGTGCCACTTTGACGAAACTCTCTAATATAAGCAGCCTGGTTATTAATTTATTTATTTTACATCGTTGCAATCATAAAGCTCATAACAATCGGTAAAACAATAATGTTTTACATTAAAAAAACTCATATCTTGTAGGCTTGAAATTATCTTACCTTAAAATTTACTTTTAAATGCTGAAACTAAATTTCAGACGACTAAAAAATGAAGCTTCCATATTTGGGCGTAATACGTCCATTAATATCCAGCATGCGGGCTGGTACAACGTGTAACTTTGTTGTAACTCAGTTGTTGTGAGTGCTTGTCAGCTGACACCCCCGGCAACATAACGAGTATCCTAACATCGGCCAACGTTTATATTAGCCCATCCTTGTTTTCACAACTAATTAGGCTTACACCAAAGGGTTTTCAACCAATTTTCGAGTGCAAACATTAATTTAACTGGTGAAATTTATAGATTTGAAAATATATGGCAGATAATTACAGTGTTAACGAATTGTGACTGAAAAGAAATTTGACGTTTCTTATAATTTTATCGGCAATAGAGTAAAGAAGACGGGGCTGTCAAAGTATGAGCTTGTGTTGTCGTTAATCATTTGCCTCATAGTACTTTTAATTTGGATTTCGTAAAACAACACCCCGTTTAATATACAGGACAAAATGTTTAAGTGTGTTTACAGGTTGCAGAAGGGTGGTTCTGCACCTATCTGATCCATGTTAATATGTTGATATGTTAATAATGTGAATATCTTACTTCAGGAGTGGATGGTAGTGAGTGGGGTTTGCTAAATTGGTGCTACGATAACTAATCGTCAAATACGACATCAACACCTCTAAATGTATTACTTCACTCATATTACTAAAGATTATTTAGTAGTGTTTGCACGCTCATTGAAGTTGTATTATCTTCAGAAAATGTTTATGACACATGATCTCGTACTAAATCATGCGTATCCCATATTTTTGTTAGATTTTTAATCTATAATCTATTGAAGCTTTATAAAAGATTATTTAGTTACTCGATAATTGCGTTGTTCGTGGTTAACCGTAAATGGTTATTACCAAAATATCAATTTAAGCAAAAATATATTAATTTTTCTACTCAGAGTATGCAGGTACACCTTTTTGTTTTATAATTTATTAATTTACCACTAAGGTTCTATAATTTATACCATAAACAAACATACTATATCAGACATTATATAACAAAATAATTAATTAAGTTTTTAGAACACTACAATTTAAAAAATTGGTAAAGGCTTATTGTGTAGATAAAGATTTAGATATTTACTCCTACCAGCTAACGATAGAGTCAAAATTTTCTTTACAGGCAATAATTATCATTATTTAACGCTGTTCATTAAAAGCAGATATAAACCTTTATTTGCTCACAAGGTGCCAAAAACTATAAGGAATATTGGAAATTAAGTATGATAGTATTTAATTTTGTTCAAAACCAAGCCCTATAACTATTTTCTGAAAGATATTATCAAAAGACATTATGCGCACTTTATTCTTTTTACTAGTTAAGTCACAACAAAATGGTTTTAAATGGTTATTAAAATATGCAAGAGCAATCAAATGTATGTCTACTAATTTTTTTCAGTGACCAGAGCTCATGTTGAGTTTAAACCATAATAAGATACGTTAGTATTAAAATACCAAGGTACAATCAAGCCTAAGAGCCTGATGTCATCCCTTCCCTTATCTAAGGGGTGAGAGCACTTAGTTGATGTAACTCTATAGTGTTGACGATATTGGCCAATCTGACTCCCCACAAGAATCTGGAAATTTGGAGAAACGAAAGAAAAAATGATATTACATTTTAGAAAACGGGTTATAACACACACAGTTTATCTTAAAAATTTATAAAATATGCTTAAATCGTGCATATAATTAATGTATATAATAATGAATGTGTAATATACAATCATAAGTAAAACACGTTTCACTTTAACTAAGTGAATATTTTTTTTTAAATATATCAAACTCCCTTCCCTAGATTTAGTTTAAAAACAAGTGAGCCTATAAAATATTAATAGGCAAGCATGTTTATTTAAAACCTTTTTGTTCAAAACCCGTGTGTATCGCAGGGAAACTCTATGCATATTGGTAAGATAGTTTCCTCTAGATGTGTAAAATCCCTTTATAAATTAAAATAGGCTTAAAAATACCCACAATAAATTATTTTAAAATTTAAAAATAAACATGGGCCTTTGGGTTGCTATGCTGGTAACAAAATATAAAGAGAAAATCAAAACAAATGGAATTAATTCTTATCACATGTTTTATTTACAGCGTCGGGTAAAAATGAAGAAGTCTGTATATTTCATTTTGGTAGAGTTTCCGACCACTGGACGACCTCTAGTAATTATAAACACAAGGTTTTTTTTATCACGTTATTCACTATTACAAACAATACTAATTGTATACAGATTTTTGTTGTAAATCATTACATGGCCAGTATCATTCGCCATTGTAAACATGATGATTTGTTCCTGGTCAGTATTGTTTGCCTCACTTCAGGCTGCAGTGTGTACTCTCAATATTTACCTGCTCTGTATCAATGGTAGCCTACTACAAGCGTTGACCGACAGTCAACATATCCATGGCCAAAGGTTTGTTTGGTTGATTATTTTTGGGCATTTGTTGTTAAAATTTTCAGGTAATGGATAGTATAACATTTGTAACAACATTTTTACAAAACACAAAACAAGCGTTTGCAGGAAAACAGAAATACATCTTACTCAATAGTATACCATTGGCAAGATGTGTAAATGCGACAGTTTCCCAGGAACCCAATTTCAATATGTGTGCACATTTTGATTGGTTTGGTGCGTCGGTGAATTATATACAGTATTTGGTAGCACAATGACTACGAATCTAAGAAGTTATGTTGACTGTTCATGTCCCGGAGCCGGCACAAACTTGTATCATTATATTTTATTCTGACACCGTGTCGACTTTTTATATAATATTACATGGTGCCTTTAACGCACAGACTTAAGTTCTATGTGGACGTGTTAATGCAAAATAAAACAGAACTTTAACCTCTTCATCAAATATTATTTGTCGTTATATACAATTAATTGTACATCACAATTACTAATTATCACATATGTGTCATTTCCAGCTGACTACTACTGTGGTGGCTTCAATAACCTTTGCAACACCTATGACGACTGAAAGCCAGTTATTCTTGTCTGTACTTCCTCCAACCCATGACATCACTAACCCCCTCCCCTCCCTAGAGACGAGACTGTTAGACCACTACATCGTGTGTCACTGTCACTTTTATTGGAGTTCAACAGATATATGGGAACAGGTCTCACATTGTTGTAGTAGACGTGTTTTGGTTGGCTGTTTATTAGGGTTTAAGTTATCACAGGCTTACATTTGTTACTTTAGCTGGTTACAGTAGTTTTCCAAATTTCCAAATTTACCTGTTTAGACTGTATGTGCATATTGACCTATGCTTCCGTTTAAGATTTCCTTCCGACTCCTTGTGGGCCACCCCCTGAAGAGTTATTGGATCACTGAATATGTGTTAAAATAGAGTTTTATGCC